CCAAACTGTTCGATCCGCTGTTCCCAGCTACAGTGCTGGCCAAGATCTTCATTTAATCTACCTGGCTGCTAGGCCTCGAATGGGACTCACCGCTGCCAACCAACGAGGCGAGGAAGTGGCTGCAATTCCAGAGCGAGCTATCGGATCTGGAGAACCTTTTCGTGCCCCGTTGGTTGGGAGGCGTGACGGACACCTGGAAATCCACGGATTCGCCGATGCCTATTCCGCCATCATCTACCTGAAGACGAAAACGTACGACATTACAAAGGTTACCCTGCTTGCAGCAAAAACCAAGGTAGCGCCTTTGAAACAAGTCTCCTTACCACGCTTGGGAGTTGTCTGCCGCCACTCTTCTCGCTCGGCTGGTCGCTCACACCGTACCTCTAAGTGGCGCAGAGAAGACGTCTCTTCATCTGTGGTCGTATTCAACAGTGACTCTCGGCTGGATCCGTGGACATCCCTCGTCATGGGTCACCTACATGGCTAATCGGGTCAGTGAGATTCAAACACTGCTCCCGGAAACCCACTGGCATCATGTCCCAGGCTGAGAAAACCCCGCTGACTGCGCTTCAAAAATACTTTATCGTTTTTATACGAATTACGAATACTTTCATAAATTTTCCCTTTTGTACAGCATTGTACAATTATTGCAAGTTAGTCTGTATGTGCCAAATCTGTTCTTTGTAATCTGTAACTGTAATCATTTATGATTATAGGTGTCGGCATAGTTTTCATTGAACTATGTGCACATGCATCATGAATTGTTGATAATAGCATAGAACTACTGAAAACACATTGTGTGGTTTTACGTTTATACTGGCGGATTGATACATCATACCAAATCAATTAAGACATTTTCTAATCATTCTTTAATTATATTTAGATGTAAATTAAAATAGCATTTTCAATTTTTTATTATATTATCGCATAAATTAAAAATTAAAGACAGATTAAGCCTTGTTTGATACATTTTTTCGCGAATTGATATATATGTATAATAAATATTTTCTAATTTGTTAAATTAAATATATACATTCTCGAAACAAATATATTAAAATAAATCCAAATATAAAATAAAAATAGTAATAAGCTCTATTAAACTTAATGTTTGTGAACAAAGAAGGGCTGTAAGAGCTATATTAAACAAATTGCAGTTGTCAGATAATCTTAATGAAATTCATTTAAAACAAGAAAATAAATGCATAAGCAATAAACATTTTTGTGTAAATGATATTAATAAAATGTATTTTAAAAAAAGAAAATAAATATATAAAAAATAAAACAATTATGCGAACGTTTCGGCTGACATTTCAAGCCTTCTTCAGCGCAATACAAATATTTTAATTATAAATTAGAACGTGATATTAAACATTAAAGACGGTAGTTAACATAGTCAGGATAATAAATATATGAAGTCAGTTATTGTCTCAATACATATGTTGTTGAACAAGTCATCGTGTATGACAACCATTGTTTCCGATATATACTTCGAGAAAACACACCGTGCAATCACCCATGAGAATAGACTTCTTGATTAATTGGTCAAGGGAGATATCTTGATTGAATCCTCCCGATGAAATGTTGTTAAACATTAAATCAAGATCTAAATAAACAAGATCCGATTATTCATTATATTCTGATAAGTAAAATGCACTGTACACTCACTCAAACAAATCGGTGATAATTTTACAAAAGTTCCAACGTATCAGATCCGACATCCCTTTAAACAAGGTTTTTTGCAGAGAACAAAACAGTACGTTAAACCATCACAACTCTCAGATGGTCGCAAATGCGAAAATACCTCAATGTTTTACCTTCTTATATCAAGGTTTGTTTATAAACCCTGATAATTTTGGTAAAGACTCTATAATGTTGTTATATATGTCAGGCAAAAATTCCGTATCAGTTTGTAAATTCAATCCATTAACTTGTTTTTTTATAAATAACATTTCCGATATTAGTCTTTTAATATAATAAGGTTCTGAATAATAAAACAATAAAATTGTTTTTTTTTGACATGCAAGTAAATTTTTAATATATGGAAACTGCCGATAATAGCGAAATTAAAATTATCGACAATTTTAGTTTCGCTTAAATGAGGGCGCTAACCCGTCGGAATTCGGCCAACGCTCCGGCATCCCCTTAACATATGAAGCCTAAAATATAAATTTAATATAAATTTTTCATTTTTACTCATCATTGTATAAACATTTTTCTAAAATGTAAACTGATATTTAATTTAAAATATGTGAGAAAATATTATTTCTAGATATGTTTTCGGGAAAATACATTGTGACGTGGTCTTTTGGAGCCCGTCACAAGGGCGGACGCACCCGGCCGGGAAACGTCGGAGAGCGTTCTGAATTTTGCGTATCGTGCGGGTGAGCAGCGACCTTTTCGCTGGCTCGCCCTTACTCGGTAGCGGGAGTCGAGGTGATGGGCCAGGAGAGCTTACATTGTTTTAGAGAGAAGAGGACCCAGGCGAACAGAGGAGAGACGACCCCGAAAAGGGAGGAACGGAGGCTGAGCGCCCGGCCCGGTGAGTAGTAAAGAGCAATCAAGTATACGCGGTACCGAGTGTATAAGAATGAGATACTGCAAGTAAAATCATTACAGCCCCGGGTGGACGAACATAAGCAGTCCGGAACAGAGACGGAAAGGCGCCTGCATCCCTCCACAAGGATGATCACCCCTGAGGGGCCCGCCGCCACATCATTCGGGACCGATCACCCCGGAACGATCTCCCCAGCGAAGCAAGGCTGTCACGAACACCCTCATGCAGCCGTACGAGGTGTGGACAGGGCCGCCAAGAACGGACCTGTGACGTCGTCACTCCCAGGGCTAACGTTTGAACTTGGCGGCGGGAAGTCCGCGACCAGCCGCGACAGACGGAGATCGATAGAGGATCAATTCCGGGCCTGGCGCGGGGCGCAACGCTGCCGCGAAACCTGGCAACCGGGCCGGGGTGGCGCGCAGAGTCTCCCCCTCCCCCAACGTACCTCCCGAGGTCCTGCCGGCCCGAGGCGAGTTCACTGTTCGGCGAGCCGGTGTCCTGAGCATACAAAGAGACAACGACCCGCATCCCGCGACGACTACGACACAATATTGTAAGGCCACCTTCTCGATCTTCCAGTAAGCGCGGATTCGGCCGAGACCCGTGTGCTATTAGAATCTTTTCGCGATACCGAGCATTTGTACTCTTTGTAATTTATCGAAGAGAATACCGAGAATTTGTTGGAAGACGCACGAGACTCGCGTCGATTTCCGCGTAATTACGTATTTAAGCATCTCTTTGCCTTCTTCGCCTCTCCGAGAGGCACCGAAAACGAGTCGACAGTCACTTTATTATCGTATCGTTATTGTAAAATTGTATCGAGTCATTTACTACCGAGCTTTGAGAATAACTTTCGCTGGATTAACGTATGGCGTTCACGATTCCGAGCGGACCGCGAAAGGAGGAGAGTAACGATAATTAGATACTTAGAGAAAACCCAGCGACCCCCTTTAAGCTCGACGATTATATTATATAAACGCCTTGTTTCTACACACCACTAACTGGAAATATACAATTGTTCTTTTATCTTATATTCGATTGTAGTTTATGTTGATATTTCCTCTCTCTCTCCGAGACTGTGATTCCGACTCTCCTTGCAGAAAGAACCCCGACACTCTACCTCCTGTTGATACCAAGCTTCCGAGGCTGAGCCGTCGTGTCCGCTAATTAGTTGTCGCGATGTTAATGAATGGTGCGGCCTGACCGTACCTGGCGCCCAATATTCGATACCGAGTAGCAATCTAAAGAACGGAGAGCGGCACGACGAGGTTGCGCAGCAGTCTCTCTCTCACTCTCTCTCTTGGCGAGAGAGGACAGAAAGACGGTCGCAACATATGAAACAAAACTTAAAGTGTTTTTAATTTTTATTTCTTTTTATTACCAATTAAAATTTTTTAAAATCTAAAGATGTTACAATTTACATCTAAATGTGTTTATGTTATGTAGAATATACGAAAAAAATAACCAAAATGAAAAAAAGAAAACATTTAATATTTATGTAAACATTAAATAAAATATTTACAAGTGGAAAACGCATATATAGCGATTTTTCATTAATTTTTAAATGATTATATTTAAAACATAAATCTAAATGTTTTATTGTGTTCAACATATTATATTTTTTTAGACAACATAATTTAATATTTTTACATAATATTTTTACTGTTGAATCATCTCGTACACGCGTTTTTATCTAAGCGTGTCAATGACAGTAAAACATACATACATAATTGTGTCTATTTTTATCACATAGTTCCCACACAGCACAAGTATATTCTGAGAATGTTCTGAGAATTTCAGAAAAGTATATTACGTATATTCTGAGAACGTTCGATATACGTACTGCGATATCCTGAGTACGTACTAAGAATACGTCTATGTCCAAGTTTTCTGCTTCTCAGTACACACTGACAATATCTTTTCGTATATACTCAGTATATTTATAAAATATCTTGAGTATGTTATTAGTTTATATATATAAGATACTGATAACATACTCAAGACATTCTATGGATATACTTATATTCTCGAAATTATATACTATGAATTATATCGATGTTACCGTAAACACTCTATTTCTATTTTTTCGCATTATTTATGAGTAAAAATTCAAATTTGAATTTTTGCTAATATAGCCTGTGGTCGAGTAGCACGCTTTGAATGCTGTGAACATCATTCTATCTTTTTTATTATAATACATTCTATCTTTTTTTATTATATACATAATTATATACAGGTATGTAGTTGAATATAGAACAAAGAATGATGTTCAGAGCATCCAAAGCATATGTTACTCGACCGCGCCTTCAAACATACGAAAAACGAATTTTGAGTGTTTATAATAACATTAATATTAGGTATATTATATATTTTTAACACATTTTTATTTATATTATAAAAACTATATTTCAATTAAATATTTACATATAACTATAATATTGTATCTTCTTATATGTATAGGGTCAAGGTGCCGATTATGAGATACCATTTACATTTTTTAAATTATTTCCAAAATATATGCAATTAGGAAAGTATCTATATACTGTTTTTAATCGTCAATCGTAAATCAAACGAAAAACTATCCTTAGAATAGAAAAATAAAATAAAAAACAAAACCAAAAATATTTTAATCGTCAATCGTAAATCAAACGAAAAACTATCCTTAGAATAGAAAAATAAAATAAAAAACAAAACCAAAAATATTTTAATTTTTAAAATACCCCATCCGCTTGGATCGGACAGCATCAATAGCCTTTATTGTTTTCCCACAGACACTGTATCTAAAAATTAAGTCTGTTCACTTTCCTGTCTGCTCATCTGAGCTAATCGCTTTTGCATTCGCTCTCTTGCATGAGCTAACCATATTTTTATTGGCGCCGAAATTTCCTGATCCGTTGCATTTGTATGCAATCTTCTTACTGTAGCTGAAAAATTTGTTAAATTATTAATTATTAATTTATTAGTTTTTAGTTATTAAGAAATAAAACAAGTTCTTTAATTGTAATTTAATTTAAATTAAAAAATCTTTAATAAATTAAAATATATCTTTGATTTTGAAAATACATATATATTTGTTGAAATAATCGGTTAGAAATATAAAAACACATACGAAACATTTATAAATAATTTAATAAAAAAATATATATTTCTAAACATGTTTTTTAATTTAATCAATTATAGCATGTATAATAAAAAATATAAATTGTTGAATTTATTTTACTTACACATAATAACTTGACATATATGTAATTTGGAAAAGTTTTCTTTTTTCTTTGCTCCATACCAGCTGTAATTAACAGCTAATTCATTAGTAAAAATTCTTCGCATTAAACGAATACATGAACTTCTCAAATCTGTACTAATTACGTAGGCTAAGTGTTTAATCTGAAATATTATTACAAAAGATAAAAGTTATAACTTTATATAATAAAATTATATTTATGTAAAAATATTGATATATATGGCTTTAAAATATATTCTAAAAAAATTATTTGGAAGCTCAATATAAAATTAAATTATTCAAATATCTTTAAATAAATTTATATATTTTTAAAAACTTGTTTATTAGTATAGGGGGCCTATTATGTATTTCTAAAGGAGTGAAAATGCGAAAAGTGAGCAGCTCTTGTGATCACTGATTGGTAGATCTAAAAGTGTACACCAATTAGTGATCGAGGAAAAGTTAACTTTTCGCATTTTCACTCCTTTAGAGATACATAATAGACCCCCAGAGTATTATATATATAGAGTATTTCTTTAAATAAAAGTATTAAATATTCTTACAAGGTTTTATATTCAAAATTTTTTTATTCGTCATATTTTTTGCTAGATCTCTAAATTGTTTTTGTTTTTTTTAAAAGTCGTGTTACCATTAAAATAGATATTTAACTTACCATTTCATTTCGATAAAGTACATCAGTACTTATTTTAATTTCCAATACATTTAAACTATTTTCATCTTTCAGTGGTAGGTCTTTATTTATGTCATTTAATTCTTTCTGCTCAGTTTCAAAATTTTCCGTTGAAAGTTTCCGAAGTATTAATTTTTGATTTCTTTCCATACTGTTCATTTTTAATTTAAAATGAATTAGTTTTCCAATGAAAAATCGTTTAAAATTTTTTTCTTCGTAATTATCATCACACAAATTGTTATCGCAATAATGCATATCTAAAAATAATGAAATAATTTTATCATGTTATTTCAATATATCGTTGATATAACAAAATGTTAAGCAAAATATTTATGTAAAACTACTAACATATATCACTTTAAAATATATTGTAAACACAATAATATTTAGCAGCTTTAATATAAAATTAAAATCAAATATCTTTTAATAAAACTATATTTTTAAAATATTGTTTAGTATAGAGGATTATATATACGGTGTCCTGTAATTGGTAAAAATCTGCTAATGGCAGATTCGTGAGATCATTTTGAGACGATTGTTCTTCAGCGAAAATGTCAAGAGACGTCATCATTTTTTTGCAAACTTGCAATATTTATTATTATATATCTTCGTAACTAAGTTTCAAATTAAAATTTTATTAAAGTAAACTCCACTTAAAATTAACTGAAGAATGTAATTATGTAAGGCCCGATTACACCAACGTTATTTTCATTTTAAGCGAGACTTACATATGTATCTGTCTTTATTTAATTAGAAAGAAGGATAAAGATAGACACTTATTTAAGTTTTACTTAAATCCAAAATAATGTTGGTGCAACTGGGCCTTAGTCTTTTAACTCCACAAAGTTTAGTTTACGAAAATCATTTTTATCAATCACATAACTCGAAAATTATTGATTTCTCAACATTTGCACTAAGGAAAAATCATCTCCAAATTAGCCAAAGAATACGCTCACGAGAGATTTTTTACGAGTTACCGGGCACCTTGTATAGTATTTCTTTAAATAAAAATATTAATATTGCAAACTATTTACAAAATTTTGAAGAAATAGTATAAATATTCTAGAATATATAAAAAAAATTATATAATCGTTATAAGTAGAATACCTTGCTTATTAATGACTAAATTTGTCTTGCGTCCTATCACGTCTACATTTATATCATTATTATTATTGTCATCTTCACCATCAACGTACGATTGTTGTTCGGAATTTGCATGGGATACATTTTTATCACACTGCACGACTAAAAATAATAAAATGTTTTTACTATATTATTTTAAAATAACTTCAATATTTAAAATATGTTAGGTAAAATTTTGAAGAATGTTATAATTGTAAAATATATAAAAAATTATATAATTGTGTAAAACAAATATAATTATACGTACCTTGCTTATTAATATATTTGTTTACTACGTTCGGATTTATATCTTCGCTATCTATGAATAATTTTTTTTTTGAATTTGCATCAGACAAATTCTTATCGCAATGCGAAAGATCTAAAAATTATAAAATGATTTTGTCATTATATTTTTCCCAGATAATAACTACTGTAATATTAAAACATGTTAGGCAAAATTGTTTAAGAATAAATGTTATAATCCTAAAATATGTAAAAAAATATGCAATGTTAAATAGTTAGAATTATGCACCTTGCTGATTAAACGACTCACTTTGAGTTCCCATCACGTTATTTATATCATCACTATTAATGGAAGCATCAGACTTATCACAATGCGGATCTACAATCAATAGTGTTTCATTATGCTATTTCAATATAATTTAATAAGTTTAGAAAAACCTTATTTACCAGAATGTTCTATTTTTTTGATTATGCATGATTTCTTAATATTAGGGGTTTTTGTCTTGGAATAGTTAAAATCTGAAATCCATAAATTGTCTTATTATTCATGTCCTATCTTGTTTTTTATCTGTTATTTTTATTTTCATTTTTTCGTGCTTACCCTTTTGTACATCCGTCACTTTTATTCTTTTGATAGGTTTTTCTTGTGTCGTACAAGTTTTTTGTGAAAACGTAGGAATATCTGACATTGTGTCGTCTGATTCATCTAAATCGTCGTTACTCGTTGAATAGTATACTTTTGCAGCTCTATGTTTTCTCGATTTTTTAAGTTTTTCTTTTATATCAGCGCTAGAGTTATTAATATCAGATACCTCTTCGGCTTCTTTTAATTGTATTCTTGCCACTGCATAGTCGTCTGAAAAAATATGTATTATTGTAATAAATATTTAATAAATAATAATTTAACATATATATATTTTATTAAACAATATTTTCTTGTATTATTAAACGATATCAACATATATATGTACATGTTGCATTTTCCACAAAAGAATATAAAATTGCTTACTAAATGTTCCATATATTTTTTTAACAGGATGTTGCCTCCAAGTTTCATGATCCGGATCTTCCATATGTTTAACTGCCTTCTCATACCGCTTGTTGCTGGTGAAGTTTGGCCAAAATGATGTTGATTCTTCGTCAATTCTTAACCAATTATTTGGTACAATTTGAAGACCGTCCTCGAATTCGACGATCGCATAACATTTATTATTCATTCTGTGTGATAATAAATATCATTGAATATTTATATCTCATGTAAGAATGGGAAGATTGCATATCTATTATTTTCACATGGCAATTTAACATATTTCTTTATTATGTTTTTCAATGGCCATGACTTCAAATTTGAGCATTATTTTACAGAATAAATCTGAAGTAACGAAGATGAACAAGGAGTATCAAATAGATTTTTTTTTTTCCAAAAGTTCGTATCCGATAATAACAGGGATATTTCGTCTTGTGCAATGTGCTATGTTTTCAATACATACAATAACATCACAGTTTAAATCACAACAGCTGTCTGCAAGTGTCCCAACTTTAAATGTAAGTCCGTTGTACTTGAGTATTTTATATTGTGGATTGCTGCAGTTAGGTATAAGTGGACCATCTTCATGTAATGAGTGTAATGACATTACATTTGGATGTGTCAGAACAAACGAATCATGTGATGTAGTTAAATTAATTTCTTGTTCTGTACATCTTCATACAACTTGTTCCAAAGGTTTTTCCGCTTTTCTGAGATATTTTTTATACACTTGCATGTGGTTTTCAAACTTGAATGCACTAAAATTATCGAGTGGTCCAAATTTTTTTACATCATCCACAAGATGTATAAGACTGTGTATATTATGCGACACGTGTTGCGCTCCATAAAGTTTAATAAAAGTTTTAATAAAAAAACGAATTATGTCTTGTGTATAAGATAAATAATGTTCATCATTCACATAATCCTTTAAACACAAGATTCTAATAATTACATGTAGTGTCATATAATGAATGTACACACTTTTTCGTAATACAGATTTAAAGACTAACGGACCCGTATACAGCAGTATTAATCTAAATTCCGTAGCTTTCCATAATTTTACACAATCCAGTTTTCGCGGCTTTCTTGCAAATTCTCTAGGTATCGATGACTTTAGTTGAATTTGACATGCAGATATTTCTTCAACGGCTCTATGTGGTAGTCGATATTGGAGTTCTCCACCCAGCCATAAATATATTAACTTCCGCATTATTCCCAAACACACTAGATGCATACAGGGTTTGTCCGGAAAGTAATGCGTCGCATTTTTTTGTGACGCGACTATACATCGCAGAGCGATGGGACCGGTTGGGGAGGAAGGGGGGTACCCTTAGCTTTCCAACGGTAGGTCGCTCAATTGTTTCCATGCGCTTGGAGGGTTAGGACGGCTTATTCTGTGAACCTCTGCTTAGTGGTCGCGTCGAACTTGTGATGGAGAGAACGATAGAGCAACGCTATGCGATAAAGTTTTGCGTGAAGCTGGACAAGACGCCGCTGGAAACTTTTGAAATGCTCAAGAAAGTTTTCGGGGACGATTGCCTTTCCAAATCGCAGTCAAACAGATGGCACAAGATGTTTAGAGAAGGTCGGAAGGAGGTCGCCGACGAGGCCCGCGCAGGACGCCCGTCAACATCGCGAACGGACGACAATGTGACTCGTGTGCGCCAATTATTGAATTCAGACCGTCGAATGAATGTTCGCTTAATGTCGGAATTATTGAACTTGCCGAAAACGATTGTTCACGAGATTGTATCGGAAGACTTGGCCATGCGGAAGATTTGCGCAAAACTTGTGCCCAGAGTGTTGACCGATGCGCAAAAGCAACACCGAGTGGAAGTTTGTGAAGAACTCAAGCAACTCTGTGCAGATAATCCCAATTTCCGGCGGACTTTTTTTTATTTCCTCGGCTGAAAAGGGAGCTCAAAGGACAACAGCTCGAGTCGGTTGACAACGTACAAGCTACTTCGACGGCCTCCCTGAACAGCATCCCAGTCAAGGAGTTCCAGAAATCTTATGACGCATGGAAATCGCGTTGGCAAAAATGTATTGACGCAGAAGGGTCATACTTCGAACAATTTTAAGTTGTTTTACCTATGCGATCAATAAATTCTTTTTTAAAAAAATGCGACGCATTACTTTCCGGACAAACCCTGTATAATCTAACGGAACGTTTGTAACAGGTTTGAAGTGAGGTATTTTTAGTAAACCACATGTTATATTTGGCTTATGATAGCTGTCATCGATTTTTTTAGTGAAATCATCATCTGATCTACATGGTGCATCAATCTGTGGGAAGCACATACGATTTCCTATGTATTCACCTTCCGTTGTACACTTAGTACAACTAGAATACCCGGTATGTCCTTTTACGCACAATACAAATGCTTTTGCAGGTGTATCACATATCAAAGCTTCTATTCTGCATTGTAAATTACGTCCATTGACATAAATTCCATTTTCGCCCATTTCTATAGCCTCGTCCAAAAATTTTTAAAAAGTCATTAACATCTGCTGGTTTTTCCGTTCCATGATAAATTCCGATTGTGAATACATTATTATATGGAAGAATTGAACCAAGTATGGGCCAACATTGTTGTTGCGATGATCGTGAAAGTGGTAATCCATCGATATTAATAGCAATTTTTACACTGTCAATATTGCTCTTTATAGAAGTTAATAAATTTAATACAGATTTTTGCAATCCAAAATGATAGTACGTTCCTGGCAGTACTACACGCATTTCGTTTTTTCTTGGAGTTTGTAAAAGTGAACGTGGATCCAAAGATAAAGATGAAAAACACGAATGATTTCTCAGTCTATGAAGCAGTGCTCTTAGAGCTGTATGTGAAATTTGGTGTTGTACAGCCCAAATAGCAAGATCAATTTTTAAATTTTCATTTTTTATATTAATATTGTCGGATGCTAAATAAGCTTCTGATTCATCATAGGAATCGTTAACAGAAGATTGTTGTGCGTTCAAGATATCATTATTTTCCTTATCCTCTTCGTGAACAATATAATTTTCAGCACTCTCAACTTCAATATTTATTACATCTGAATTAACTGTAGAAATATCTCCCAAATGTTTTGTGCATTTATAATTGATATCCATTATAGCATCTGAATTAACTGTAGGAGTATTTTCCAACTGTTCTGTGCATTTATAATGAATGCTGCTACATGATACTGCTACAGTCGTATTTAATATAACTTCACAAATAATGTTGGATTTTTGTGTAGCTAGTCTTTTTAAGTGTCGGTTAGAAACGCTTGCAGTATTTTTCCTCGAGCGCTTTTATTCATTTTAATTTATAATTTATTTCGTTCTGTTAAAATAGTAAAATATTAATATAAAATATATATTAACAATATTAATATTTATGTCAACTTTTAAGTGTTAATATGCTTTTTCGAATATTATTATATATTTATAAAAATTTAGCGAGATAAAGTTAAATAATTTTAAAAGATTTTGTCACTATTTTTGTACGTTTAAAAGATTATTTAAGGGGATACCGGAGTAATTAATTAATTTTTCTTTAAGACAACTATGTGTTTTCTTTACATCAACTAATTCGTCTCATTATTCTGTGCATAAAAGTAATAAGGTATGATAATTGAAAAATGAATATTTTGCAAGATATTTTGTCAAAATATCTTGTGAACTATTCAATTTTTATCCATCTTATACTTTCATAATTATCCGTGATTGGGTGGCAGAATATGTGCCAATTTGGGTATTGCAGCGCCAATGTAGAACAGATATGACGCAAATAATAAATGTATAAACTAATGTATAAAATAAACCATTATTAATATCAACGATCACTAAATTCAAAAACAAATTTAATTTCTTTAGTTCGAATAATGTCATTAATTTGAATCATCTGTTCTGCATTCATAATGTCCAGGTCGACACATATTCTGTCAGCCAATCATGTAAGATAATGGCAGATTGGCGCTTCTCTTTCCTAGAAGTTCTCTAGTTATTACACAATGTAATCAAGAAAGAGCGATTTCGGTATGTTTATAAATATTTGATCGATGATGTACTCACTTTTTTATTTATATGTCTTATTCTCACTAGGATATATGTAAATCTACAATATCTTCCTTATTTCCAACGCTGCAACATAAAAATGACAAAAAATAAATATGTATACATGTCTTCAATAAATAATTAGTGACAAAACTGTATACTCTGTGTCTGCTCTCTCTTGATCGCATTGTGTAGTGACTTATTAACACAGCTTTCGATACATTACAGTGTCAACACAAATATAGAGCATTTATATTTGTATTGCGTAACACAAATATAAGTTCTCCATATATGCTCTGATACTGTAGTATATCAAAAACTGTGCTAATCAGTCACTACACAATGCAATCAAGAAAGAGCGAATACAATATGTTTATAAAGATTTGATTGATGAGAGTTGTAAAGCATTAACAAAACTAAATGATATAAATTTTATAAAGAAAAAGGATCGACTTACTTACTTTAAATTAAAATCGTTGCGTAGGTTTGATTTTGTCGCACACTAACACACAACTCGGGAAACGAAAATGACCGATGGCTAAGCCCGCCAAGCCACTATCGACCAGTATTGACAAAAGACGGTAAGATCGGAAGTTACATGTATCTAAGATAGCGGTGCTATACATTCTGTACGTAACTCAAAAGTATGTTCTAAGAATATACGGAAATATACAGGAAATCATAATACTGTTAGAAATGTTAACGTATGTTCTGAGAATATTCGACAATATACGAAAAATGATATAACTAAATAATATACTGCTAAAGATATTATAAGTATATTCTAACAATATACGAAAAATAATGTACCACATGAGACATTATAGAGATGTTCTCAGTATATTATATACTGTACGTATATTCACAGTATACATATAGAATATTCGAATGATATCATGTGCTTTGAACACAATAATATTATATATATATATATATATTTGTTTTTTTTTGCTTATATATTTACATGCAATTCTTATATATATAATATATATATATATATATCATTCACATGTGTGTGTATGAATATATTTACTGAGCATTTACATGTGTGTGTATAAATATATTTACTGAGTGTTCTAAATAAAACGTTACAATTTTTATTTCTAAAAGTATAATTTTTAGAAAATAATGCTGCAAATAAAAGTTTCAGTATTTCAACAGAGATATACATACTTTGATGTTACAGAAATGTTTGTAGAAGGCAATTTTCAATATCATTAGTCAACTTGATTATTTGATATTGATTAGTCTAATAATAAGTATTTATGTAAATTGATTCCTTGTAACATATTCTGCATACAGGGTAAAAGTCAATAATTGAACGGTTTACGAGATATTTTACATAATCTAACATATTTTGATACAAAAAATAAAAAATATTTCGTAAATAAAATATTTAGTGTTCGATAATACTTTTATGTATAGAATAATTATAGACAAATAAAAAGATACACAGTAAAAAAATATACAATTTGCTACATGCAGCTATATATATTTTTTTGTAAAAACAACATGTTTGTTGTTTATACCAATTATTTCGTCTATGTATCGTATCAGAAAATAATTCCACCGATTTTTGAAAATCGATGGATTCATTGCTAGTATTCTTATATGTGCTATTGCTAGAGCCATTTTCCTTTTGGCTTTCGGTTTTAGTTTTTATAAATTTCTAATCTTTAAATTGGCACTCTATTTCTTTCATATGATTATTGAATGATCTCTGAAGTTCATTCCACATATAAGAAGAGTCGACAATGCGACGCTCTTGAGCGCATGCTTTCCTGGATATCCAGAGGGCTATTTTCCAGATAACAAAATGATTGTTATCTTCGCATAGTTCGACATTTTTAATACACGTACCTGTATTTGAATTTCACTCCAGGCATTGCATCGTGGGTACTAACGATTGGATACTAACTTTAATAACCAGAACGCACATGCGAATCGTTCTGGAAAAAGATATTTTTAAAAGCAACTAGCAGACGAATAAATCGTCTCTGATATAAAATATCTTTTTTTAATAACCAGAACGCACATGCAAATCGTTCTGGGAGAAGATATTTTAGAAGCAACTATATGTCAGACTTCACAACGATACGTTGTATACGCTGTTTCGTTGTTGTTACGCGTATGAACGTGTATAGCACCGCGCGACGTGAGTGAGGAGTCGCGCAGTAGATCATATCCACAGATTAATAGACAGATCGCCAAAGGTCTGGATGAAGGAGAGACCAGCATTTCTCACTGATTTCAGCGCCATATCGTAGTAGTGGTCAATGCAGTAACTATTAATACGTTCCCAAGATAAGAGCGTCTCATGCTCATGAACTCGTCCGGCGGCATGTACGAGATTTATCTTTTCGTAGCGTTCGCGTATTTCGGAAAGGACAGAATTTTATGATGTTATAAATAAATAAATAATAAATAAATAAATAAATATTAACCTGACCTATTATAATTATTTTTTAATAAATGTTTCATTATTATTATCATCTAAGTCTAAGTCGTTTAATTAATTTTTAGTTTTTTAATAATTAATTTAATTTATTCTAATCATTTTAATATGTGAAAAATACTAATACGTATACGTTTTATAATGAATTAATATATTTCGAGAGTCGAATTATATATTTTTAATAATATAAAAGTGTTCAAAAATTATATTTGACTTTTAATTTTAATTATTTTAGCAAAGAGTTCCGAAATCTCTTACACACATAATAGGGATTTTGTTCATCCATATAATTCGCAATTAAGTATATATGTTAATTATTAATTTTAATAAAATACAAAATTAAAATTAAAGGTCAAATATAATTTTTGAACATAAATATATTTAATTCGTTATAAAACGTATACCCGTGATAGTATTTTTCTCGTACAAAAATAACTAGAACAAATTAAATTACTCATAAAAAATTAAAAAATAATTAAATAATTTATATTATATATGATAATAATAAAACATTTTATAAAAAAAACAGATTCAATAAATATAAGTATATATATAACATGTACTTATATTTATTGAATCTGTTTTTTAATAAAATGTTTTATAAGCTTAGAAAACTTGACTTTGACGTAACTAGCAAATTTTATTTAATTATTTCACGACGGTTTGACGTAATAAAATGTTTTATTATTATTATATAAAATATAAGTTTAAATTCTTTAATTAATTTTTAATCTTTTATGATTTTTAATTTACTCTAATTATTTTTGTACGAGAAAAATACTATCATGGGTATACGTTTTATAATTAATTTAATATATTTGTGTTTAAAAATTATATTTGACCTTTAATTTTAATTTTTATTTTATTAAAATTAATAATTAACATATATACTTAATTGCGAATTATATGGATGAAAAAAATCCCCATTATGTGTGTAAGAGATTTCGGAACTCTTTGCTATAAAATAATTAAAATTAAAAGTCAAATATAATTTTTGAACACTTTTATATTATTAAGAATATATAATTCGGTTCCCGAAATATATTAATTCATTATAAAACGTATACGTGATATTATTTTTCTCATATAAAAATGACTAGAATAAATTAAATTAATTATTAAAAAACTAAAAAGTAATTAAACGACTTAGACTTAGATGATAATAATAATGAAACATTTTATTAAAAAAAGATTCAATAACTAGTAGGTCAGGTTATAATTTTTTATTTATTTATTTATAACATTATGAGCTATTAAGCTCATCATCTCGTTCGCTCTCTGTCTTGCTTTCATTCGGCAAGTCACAAACGATATATGATACTCGTATGTTCCTACTTCAACTCTCGAGAATCTGAAACAAACGAAACTCGTGTCCAATATACAGGGTGTCCGGTAACTAACGACCAATGATTACAAATGGATTCTTTGGTCAATTTGGGAACGATTTTTCCTCAGCGAAAATGTCGAAAAAGGTCATCATTTTTTACAACTTTCCAATCTTTGTCATTATGTATCTTTATAACTAAGCCTTAAATTAAAATTTTATTATAGTAAACTCTACCTGAAATTAACTGAAGAATGTAATTATGTTAGACTTTTAACTCCAAAACGTTTAGTTTTCAAAAAACCTATTTTTTTCAATCGCTTATAACTCGAAAATTATTGACTTCTCAACATTTTTGCTAAGGAAAAATCGTCTCCAAATTGGCCAGAGAATCCGCCCTTAATCATTGGTCCGTTAGTTACCGGACACCTTGTATATATTATATAAAAGTGTATAGCACGTCAGAAGCTTGTGAGCTTACAGCGATAAGTAAAAACAATTGCGTATTTATTTCATTGCGTTTATCTGTTTAAACGCGCGCTTTAATTTTTCCAACGTTTTTGCCTGTTTATATTTTAAAGGTCCTCTCTTCTAAAAATCTTGTTTTAAAGATCCTCTCCGCGAGCAAAATTCGAAAACATAAATTATTTAATATTTTTACTTTATTATTTGTAAATCCTCGGTAATTTCAAAATTTTTCTATTTGAAAATTATTAATTTTCTATTGCCAATTAATTTTATCACAGACTTTACTCTTACTCCCATTGCACTTTCGTTTGCGGTTTTCAGTATACGATTTTTTATCGTAGTTACTGAAAATTATTATTGTGAATTATACTTGTGCAGTGATTTGAAGAATTTACAATTTCGTTGAAATTGTTGATTTTTCAAAAAAATTACGAGATTCGCGGAAATTGCGTGCTTTCTTGGCATTTTCCGTTCGCGGCAGGCGGTTTATTTTTGATTGTTGCAAGTGTTTTTGTTTTTTTTTTTATTAAAATAGATAATAATAATGTGAAATAAATCACGATATTTGACAGATGTGCATATATATAGAAATTGTAATAATAATAATATTATATCATAAAATTGTAAATTGTTTCAATTTTTTATAGACTGCGATAAAAGATTTTACATTTGGATAAGAAACTGCGGTAAGTAAAAATATAAAATTCTTGAAAACGTAAAAATATTTGATAACGTAAAAAGGTGAACTTTGAAAAATAAGGAACTTAAAAATTGCACTAATAAATGGGCTATATATATGTGAGCCGTGCGCGGATGTAAGGTGTGTTATATCGAAATTTAATTAATAGAATTGAGAATTAATCCCAATTTTAAGTCTTACAAATGTCCAAGCTAATTTTTTGTACCTCGTGTACATTTTTGAAAGTTATATCGAAAAATTAAATTTCAATATGCGTCTTACATCTCACATTTCGCATACGGCTCACATATAGCCTATTTATCTCTTATACTTTATTTCAACCCTTATAGAAATTTATTACTAGTAACGCCAATTTATCACTTATTTCGAGTAATTAATCACTTTTATTTCGAATACTTAAATTACTGTATATTATAGTATTTTAAATACTCGAAATAAGTGATTAATTGGCGTAGTGATAAATTTCTACAAGAGAATAAGGAGCCTTTAAATTCTTAATGTAAAAAATTTCAAGTAATTTTCTTTAATAAAATTTAATTAAAAAATTTAATTAAAAATTTTTGAACACTGTGTTATATCACATTTAAAATCGTGATTATTTCAATAAAAAAACATTTTATGTGTAAAAAATATATTTTTTATATTTAATAAATTTTATATATATATATGCATATATGTAAAATATTCTCTCTCTCTCTCTCTCTCTCTCTCTCTCACACACACACACACACACACACACACACAACGGGGGCCAAATCTCTCAAATTGGTCTCATGATCAATTAGCCTGGATTCGCACCAGGGGCAAAGTCTGTTGGTAATGTCAAACGAATTTAGCCTGGACTTGCACCAGGGGCAAAGTCTTTTGGTCGAGTCTACGAAATTTAGCACGGACTCGAACCAGGGGCAAAGTCTTTTGGTTCAAGTCTACGAAATTTAGCACGGACTCGAACCAGGGGCAAAGTGTGTCGGTAAGGGGCAAAGTCTATCGCACGAAGATGGCGGTCTCTTCTTTAGGCAGGCCTTTGGCGATCTGTCTATTAATCTGTGTCATATCAACGTATAATACGCGCGGATTACTGTGGTACATACATACTACTAATACCGCGCGAATACGAAAGATCTGACGCGCATTTTTACGTACATAATAAATCGGAATATTTGATAATATATATATATATATATATATATATATACACACGTGTGTGTGTGTGTGTGTGTGTGCGCGTGTGTGTGCGTGTGTGCGTGTGCGTGTGTGTGTGTGTGTGTGTGTATATATATAAATTAAACCAATACATTGATCAATTTGAAAATATTCTTATTATATATTCTTGTTATAATCTTATTAGTTTCATGAATAAATTATTTTATTCAAAAAAATTGCAAAATTATAAGTCCTAGGCCCTGTGCGGGGATATCAACCTGGTGCTGTCGGCAATGCTGAATATATATATATATATATATATATATACTCGTATATACGACGAGGTCAGCGACGGTCAAATACCGCATGTTTATGAAAATAAAGTACCAAATATGAAAAAGAAGCTTGAAGAATTATACTACGGTCTGAATTTCAAGTTAGTATTTATAATTGTATCAAAACGAATTAACATTCGACTTTTCAATAACAGAAATAATCCTTTGATCGGTACAATCGTTGATGATGTTATAACTAGTCCGTTTAAATATGATTTCTTCCTTGTCTCTCAAAATATTAGACAAGGTACAGTTTCGCCAACCTCGTACAACATTATTTTCAATAATAGTGGTTTAGAGTCAGACAAGATACAACCTTTAACGTACAAATTAACTTTACCAAATTAACATTACCTTGCCATTATGCGCAAAAGCTATCGTTCTTAGTGGGACGAGTTCTTCATCGACCTCCAAGTACACAGTTAGAAAATAAACTATTTTTCTTGTAATGTATTACAAGTTTGATATAAAGCCAATTTTTCTTCAGGATGACTTCGAGTATATTAAACTTATTTTTCATTTATGTATAATTGATGACAAATTGGTTAAATATGTTCTTTTTTATTTTTATATAGTCAATATTACTATTTTTCTTTTTATAAAGTCAATACTTAGATTATAAGATTTCTGATGTGAGTGTAACTTGTCACACATGTATTTGCATACACTCGTATGGATGGCATATTATATGTATTGTTATACACATGGATGTGACAAATTTTCAACTAAGTGTGACTAATGTGTGATTTATGTATTATAAATTAGATAATTACCTATGTCGTATTAATGCAATGCCATGATACAAGATACTACAATTTTTTTTATATAAAGATATGTAACCAAAATCAACCTAACTCAGTGTAACTTGCCATGCATGTATTTGTATACACTTGTTATACACTCGTTATACACATGGATGGCTACAAATTTTTAAATAAGTGTAACTAATGTGTGATCTTTGTGTGTTATAAATTAAATAATTACATATGTCGTATTAATGCAGGACTATGACATAAGATATTGCAACTTTTTTTTACAATTTATATAGACATGAAACCAAAATAATATATTATTTGGCCGACTTTCGGACCAATATTTTTCTCGTCTATTTCTTTACAGGGGATGTTAAGAGAAGGAACAAGGGGAATTTCTGAATATATTTGTCAATTGACGTTTTTGAGGACATTGAAAAACCTAACGATTTCTCTGCATACATATAAGCAGCATCGCTTTCTGATGTATACATTACAATTTGTTTTTTCATTACTTTGATTTTTAGCTATTGTACAACAAATTATTGCTTTCGAGGACTTCGCAAATGTATATACAAATAATTTATATATAATGGTGTTTTCGAGGACATTTATATATAAACGGTCTACTTATCAAATTATTGCTTTCGAGGACTTCGCAAATGTATATACAAATAATTTATATATAATAGTGTTTTCGAGGACATTTACATATAACATTTACATTTACATGTACATTTGTGACAGTTTAAATAAAGTTTAAATAAAGTTTAAATAATGTTTATATAACAATAATTAATCTGCTTTACGCAAGTTGTAACATATAATTTTAAAAAATATAAATATAAATCATAATGTAAATGTAAATATAAATTTTAATATAAATTATAATATAAATTTAAATTATATTGGAATTACTGATATATCTGGACATGTAAGATAGTACATAATATATACATCAGTGTAAAATTAATTAAAGTAATATCGCAATGCAGATGATACATTATTGCATTCTGTACATAAATCTTTAGACTATTTTACAGCTCGCGTGTACACAAACACATGCGAGTAATTAAGAATATAAATGTTTTATGCCTTCTGCAATCATGTAAAGACTAGAAGCACATTGATCCCTTTTCGATAAACACAGAATCTAAATTACTCATAGTTGGTTATTCCATAACATTTCACAAGATTCTGAAAGCGGAGACAGTAATAATGAACTCTCGCTTAACAAAATCTCATGGTTTGTAAATGGATTCTTTTTCGATGCTTGATGACAGACCTGCTCTGCAATTACTACCGATGCATAGGATACATCAATTTTTTTATATCTGAAATAGGCATTTAATAATTTTAATACAAAACATAATATTTAAAAATCTCATATATAGAATAACTTTAACAGAAATACTATCAAGTCTCTTACCATATACACCTTACCACACTTTATTAAACAGCAAATCATCTTAAGAATACTGAAGCAGTGGCTTGTGTTATAAATGATATTTTTCACAGCATTGAAGCAGATATTGCACAAGACATCATTTGCTGTACAACAAAGCTGATTTACAACTGAAAATAAAAAATATAGTTTACTTATATTGGAATATTGTTAGAAATATATCAATTAACTGCAAAACTGTTACACTGAGAGGTATTTAAAGTATAGTAAATAATACTCACTAACAATTATAATATTTCCAATTGCTTAAATAAGAATTTATTCCAGACTTTATAAATATAATAAATTTAACTTCCTCTGATACATACTCTAAACACGTATACTAACATAAATTACGACACACGGTGACACTACGACAGGTTAGGAAATTTGTCATAACAAGGGTGCGTTCAGAATCTTACTCCGGGTTAAAGAATTATTTTTTAACCCAGAATAGGATTTCTGAACACACCCCTTGTTATGACACAGATTAATAGACAGATCGCCAAAGGCCTGCCTGTAGCGACTTATAAATAAATTCACCAGATCTTTGAAAAAGTAATGTTTATTCATTGAAAATATAAAGGTGCCTACTGATGGACGCGGCAAGTTGCCGCGCGCGGCAGTTCAGAAAGAACTAGATCTAGGGGCTTCTGAATCACTCCTGCGTTGCCGCAAGTGAAGTTGGAATAATCCAACTTCACTTGCGGCAACGCGGGAGTGGTTATTTGTGCACATTTCAAAATAAAATTGAAACGATGGCAGGAGTAAATGTGGAGATTCCAAAGGTTAGTGTATGTTATTATATCCAAATATAATATAAGTTTAATATAAAAAAATATTAAGAAAGCAATCGCGAAGGTAATATATATGATTGTGCATAATTCAAGATTGGAGGTTAAGTGTATGTTTTGGTCGTTTCGGAAGAGAAAAACGTACCGTAACATGTGCGTACGAATCTATTTCAATTCTTATAAACATTTATGACTTGGAACCGAACTTTAGAATGACACATCGGGTGATATAATTGATTTTTTTTTTATGGCAGAAAGTATACACATGCGGATTATGCGAAATAATTCTTGGGGACCTTGAGGATGAAGAAACATGGTCCCATGAATGTTTTGCAAATTATTCAGAGATTGTTTTTGATGTGAATAGCTTGTATTTATATCCCAAATGTGGTAAGTAAAATATAAAAGGTGAAAGTGACCGATATAATACTATTTGAGCGAATGTAAAAATTTAAATATCTTGTAGAAGATGGAAGCATTGTGCGCCGAAGTGCGATTAATGGAGCAGAGCAGATTGTAATAGAATCGCCTCTTCCGACACAAGAGCCGTGCCCAGTGGAAAACCTGGAAGAACTTATCATTACAGAAGTGTCGGCACGAGAACTGTTATGGAATCAAAAACTGAGTATAACAAAACGTGACAGGCAAACTGTACAACAACTTTGGAAGCAAGTGGCTAATGCGACGAATGGTACGTATATATATTTGTGTGTGTATGTGAGAGAGAGAGAGAGAGAGAGAGAGAAAGAGAGTAGTTAAAGAAAACTCAATAGAATTAAAGTGATATAACAGTACGATTTTATTATTACAGGCGAATGTTCTGTCGATGAGGTAAAAAAAAAATGGAAGAACTTAAGGGATCGTTACATGAAAATAATCTCTCTTGAAAAGTTGCCAAGTGGATCAGGAAGTAAACCATCTCGCAGAAAGTGGCAACATTACGAATTGTTGTCTTTCTTACGTGACACTTCTTTGGAAAAAGAGTTAGTATTTCACAAAAGCATTCACTGCAATACTAAAAACAGTTAATATTGATATTATTTCATTTTATTGTATTTCAGGACAGTTTCAAATATGATGAGTCGTGAGGAAGACACTAGCAATGATGACACGGAAATCCAAAGTGTGGACGTCGTAGAAGTCAACGGTGCGATTGATGCATCAAAAAGTATTTCGTTCATAAGCTGTACGGGCAAGTAAATAAATTTAAAAACAGAAAGAGAATAATAAGAAGAATATGCAATAATAAAATAAAACTTTTGCAGAGTCTACAATGTAGTCGTTATGACAATACGACGCTGCAACGGACCAATCAGAGAAAAAAAATCATATATTCTCTTCTTTGATTGATCCGTCACAGCGTCGTAACATTGTAACGACTGCATCGTAGACCCCGCATTATATTCAAAATTCCACATTAATTATCAACCGACACACATATATATATATTGTAGGAAAATTGTACAAATTGAATATCTCACTTGTTAGTACTATTACAGCTAGCTACATCAATTTTGTCCAATAATACAAAATGTATTATTATGTAAAAGTCATTCTTTCATTTTCAGGAATGAAAAGAAAACGAAAAAGTACTGAGCGCGAAGAAGACTTGATGAAGCAGATAGCAGAGGCCTTGCAGACTCCACGACCACCTTTGCCAACTCCTCCTGTTCTTGACGAAGTTGACAATTTTACTTCGATGATTGCCTGCCAGCTACGAGAGTTGTCATCAGTCCGCAGACGCGCAATAATGTTGAAAATTCACGAGCTCTTACGTGCTGAATTATTGCGTAACGACAATTCGGCAACAACAATAATATAACGTAAAATATAATAATATGAATAATATATGTATACGTATAGTAATAAAACGAGACTGATTTTGTTAGTGCAATAAAGCCGAAGCGTATTTATTCAAATAGTTATTACTCAACTGGACCGGGATACCAAGAAACATTAAAGTTATGATTATCTGGGAAAGTAGGAAAAAGAAGTTTTAAAGAATTAGTTTGCATGATTAAAAGGTGTGATTTATTTCCTTTGCATGTGTAGTATACAAATAATGATTATATCTGTGATGTCTAGTATAATATTATAAATAAAACGAAATAATATGCTAATGTATCATTTATCATTTTGCCATGCTACTGAGCCTTCATTATTAAAATATTTACAAAATTCATCTCTAATGAGCATGGCACCCCGAGTACTTGTATTTGTACTACATTTGGAGATGTCCACAAATGCACAACCATCTTCCATAATCGTCCTCCACGAACCTCGTATGTGATCACCCACAGCCGTTTCTTTATCCAACATACCTGGTGGAATATAATTGTTCTTCTCGATATCACTCTTGCGGAGCCAGTTATGAATGCAGATTGTACCTTGTACGATCTTCATAGCAGTTTCCACACTACTAATGATCGGTTTTCGATAAACTCGCCATTGGCTAGCAAGTATTCCGAAACAATTCTCTATCACTCGTCTGGCTCTACTGAGTCTATAATTGAAGATGTGCTGTTCGGCGGACAAGTTATTTTTGCCAGAGTATGGCCTTAGCAAATATGATTTCAATGGAAAGGCTTCATCCCCGACAATGCAGTAAGGCAAAGACGGGCCTCCTTTGTAAAAACTGTCCGATTTTGGGATATTCATTTGACCTGCATTAAGTTGTTGACCGAATCGGCTTTCACGAAAAATGCCTCCATCACTTCGCCTGCCATACGCACCAATATCGACGAACCGGAAAATATAATTGGCATCACAAATAGCTAATAGCACAATGCTATGACTGTTTTTATAGTTGTAGAAATTGGAGCCAGCATTATCCGGACACTGAAATTACACAAAGATTATTATATATTTTTCACATACTGCAAGAAAATTGGAGTCTGCTCGTATTGTTTTTTCTATTTATTTCCCGATAGTTTTTAATATTTGAATAATGCCTGAAAAGAATTATAATACAAGTATTACTTACTTGAATGGTTACATGCTTTCCATCGATTGCTCCAATGCAATGTGGAAAGTCCCATATATCTTCAAAATCTTCTGCGATGCTCCGCCAGTCATCTTCGAATAACTGAGGTGGAAGAACCAAAGGACACAAATGTTCCCAAATAATCTTGCATGTTGTAGCAATAATATTGCTTACAGTCGTCAAGCCTACTAAATATTGATATGTCATTGAAGACATGGAATCACCAGCTGCCAGAAATCTGAAACGTAATGCAAATTGATGTAATGCAACATTTACATTCATATAACTAAAATAAAAACAAAAGATGTTTACCGTAATGTCAACGTCAATCGTTCTGCTGCACTTATCGGCTCTCGCACGACGTATTGTTTCTCTAGATGCGGGCCTACAATGGCTAACAACTCTTCGTATTGCGTGGTTGACATCCGAAAATAATTATGGAACCGCAGATCTTCCAATTTAAGTGTTGGCAGCAAGGCATGGTAAAAACCATGCTCACAGCGTTTTTTAAAAATTGGAGCAACCCAGAAACGCTTCTTTTTGTTGAT